AAGAAAGCGGCACTATTTGTTGAGTCGAAGAACAGATCGTGCCGGGTAGAATTGAGGGATTTGGGTTGGGTCACACGCGTCATCAAATACCTATCCGCCGTCGCTGCGGCCAAAAATCCACCCAACGGAAGACTGACTCCTTTTCCAAATTGTGGAAACCCTTCACCGTCATCGCTATCACATCTGAACTCGCCACCGCCCTCGCGAGCAGCACCACCCTCCTTTTCGGAGGTTTGGACTCTTTGGACTTTGTGAGCAAGTAGGACACGAGACGGTCGTAGTGGGGGTCAGTGATGATGCGGGCATAGTGGGAGATTTTGCGGGGTTCGTCGCTGAGGAGTTCTTTGTATGCTTTGAGTATAGCGGCGTAGAGAGCTGGTGCAATCTTGCGGGGTATGAGGATTAGTCGGGAGCGATGAATGTCTGGAGAAAGTAGACCTGCAACATGGGTATCCGGAAACGCGTCGTCGACCAAACGCGGTTTTTCAAGACCCGTGAGAGGACGGTGTAAAGCTGTAAAGGAACTAGGAAATACCACTTTTTGGGTGAGTCCTGTCGGTTTAAACGTACTCTTTGTTCTAATTGGTATCTCTTTTATTGTTTACACACACTATGAGACCATGTTCGGGAGTCAACGAACCCGGCGCTGCTCCCCCTATGAGACTGCTCCCCCGTATGAGAACCCCTTCACAAAACAAGTCTACATCTATAGAACGAAAGCGCCAACCGCCGCGATGGCACCCATCACCGCCGTCATGGACATAGCAGAGATGCTCGCAGCGCCATTCGAGCCAGAGTCGGGCTTGAACGTGAATTTCTGAAGGAAAGGGAGATATGTAGAGTAAGAAAATTTGCCAAACCGACTTGGACACCCAGTTGAAAATGCTCACCTGCCCATTCTTCGTAATAGTAAGCGGCGGGTTGGAGGCCATTGCAACCTCCGCAAACTTCCCATCCTTACACCACTGGATCTGAGTTCTTGTCTCCTGCACGTCCTTCTCTGGCGCTCCACACCGCGTCAACAACGTCTCAACCGCCGAAGTCTCCTTAGTCATTACCCCGCACAGGCATTTAACCATGTCGAGGATATAGGTATTGGCTATGGATTGTGTGAGTGGGCGATCGTCACTCAAGCCAGCGCTCAGGGTAGTTTGGACGCATGATTGGGCGGCAGATTCGGTTACGGCTGTAGCGAAGCCGCACTCTGTACCGTTGGTGGATTGGGTGGAGGCGAGGGGGAGGAGGGCAAGGGTAGCGATGAGGAGGGATTTGAATTGCATGATTTTGAGTGGATTTGATAGATTGGCGGGATATGTAAGAGGGATTCGAGGCGGGGGATTTAGATTGAAGGGTGCCTTGAACTTACTGACCCTTTTTATAGATTTCTGCGTTCATGGTGCAGAAACTGCACCTTTTTGACTGCACCTTCGTGGCACAGAGGTGTGTAACTAGCCAGGAATATTCAAATTACGGTATTACAGTAGAGGCTATGGCACCTTTGAGTAACTTAAAATTCGACGAAGAAAAAGCCGTCCCGCCGAATTAGGCAGCGGAAACTTGCTTTTAGGGATTCCGTTATTTGATTGCCCTCATCGGCCTCTTTCTAGCTTGTCTGGTTCAACTGGTGCAATGCAAGGACATATGTGTCGGTGGGTATCCAACAGAGGTTGGGAAAAAAAATCGCGTTCGTTAAGGGTATCCATTATACTGGTGTGTATCCGAACCCTCGCGTCCCTCTGGTTCCTGGACCCTCCGATACAAAATTTGCCCGGCGTCGCGCTTCTATATCCTTTTCTAGCCGTCGCAGGGGCTGATCGATCGAGGGGTTGCGCGTACGAGAGAAGGACCAGGTGGAAGGAGAGAGGCAGTGAGGGAACGCACACGAGGGGTCAACGGAATTCCTCAGGCCGACGACAAGTGTCACTCATCATATAACAATTTTTAATTTAACAATGGATTCGGACATTTCCATCTGCCATCCGGCTGTCTTGTCCGGCTTCCATTTGCTTGAAAGTCTATTCATGCCATCATCCCCTTTGAATGCGGGATTTGAAGCAGGTCTTTGGGTGGCTCTTTCATTAATTTTTCAGGCGGCGACACGAACAAGGAAACTCTCCCAACTCTATTTCGGAGGATGGGAACACAAGCGGCGCCAAAAACCAGCCACCGAATCCCGAGAATCCGAATCCCCGACATTTGGACGTTCCCCAAATGCAAAATCTCCACATATCCATTTGATTCAAGTCAATTAGACAAACCTCCTTCATACCCTTCTATGCTGCGGGTGTTGGGTCCTGTGTTCGATTCCTGACATTTCTGTTAACACAATGTGCGGGAGGTTCGTCCTCCAGGTGTTGGTGGTCGTCGTGTCCCTCGCCGGCTTCCAGGCGACGTTGGTAGAGGGGAGAGGTAGGAAAGGAACCCACTTTGTCCTCACTCACTGGGGAGAGAAACTGACGTGAGCCATTGATCTTTCTAGTGGAGTTGGGTTTTGGGAACTTTGGGCAACAGACGTAGGTGACCGGTTTGATGTAACCAATGGGGGAACCAGAAGACCGAACGTAACCAACGTATATGGAACAGACGATTGATGAAAGGGCATCCCCTGTTGAATGTAACCACCCCTCAAATACCCGTCACATTCCGAGAAAACCATTCTCTGCAAAAACGCCAAGCGGGAGCATGCCAGGCTTCCGAAGAAGTCTGTGGGACTGGGTGTATGCCAAAGTGCGTCAAGCGTTGGAAGTTTTGGCCATTTTATGCGAGTAAAGGATGTTGGCGTCTGAAAGCTTATCATGCCATTTCTTGCAGAGGTTCCTCATGCTGTGGGAATGGGTTTTGCCCCGTTGGTCAATTCTGCGCTCCGGACAAAGTCAACTGCCAGGGATTCACAGCGGGTCGGTACATTTTCTTTGTCAGGTTTGAAATCCCAACATATCCTTGCTCACGCACATTTTACATCATTCCAGGCGGTAGCAGCTGTGCTGCACAGGGACTAGGAACGTGCGCAGGAGGCTGCATGCCCCGCGACGGCGTTTGTTGTAATTCATTCTTCTGTAACGCGGGATCCACATGTGCCGGTGGATTCTGTAGCCCCAGCAGTGCGACACCTCGTCAGGGAACCAGCAACGGAGACATCAATACGTGTCCGGTGGAAAAACGCTGCGCAACGATTTGCTTGGGAGGGACGGACACTTGCTGTGGAGGTACCAACGTCTGTAATGGCAACCAAAGGTGTCTTTCCAATGGAACCTGCTTCACAAATCCTGGGTGCGCGAAGGGGGAACAGCGGTGTCTTGGAGGTACGTTTTGGTAATACGGCCGGGTGAACGCAAAGATGATGGCTGATACGTTTGTTCCCAGGCTGTGTACCAGCCGGCACCGACTGCTGCGACAACGGAATGTACTGTCCTGCGTCTGGCACCTGCCAGGCAGGTAGCAAGTCATGTCGGTTCAGCCAAACGACTCCAACATGTCGCGCCGATCAGAAACAGTGTAATGGCCTCTGCATACCTGGCAGCGGTACCTGTTGTGATGGTAGGTCATCGTTACCGTTGGGTCGAAAGCATTTCGCCATGACATAAAGGCTGAGATCTCTGTGGTTTTAGGCGCAGACACACCCGTCTATTGTCCATCCGGAACGACCTGCATCATTGCAACCGACCGAAAACTTGGATGTGCGTAGAGTTTGTAAAGACTGCTTGCGCTTTGGTATTGCGCCATGCTGACCTTCCACTTACTCCTCATTCTGCTGGTACGGATAGTTTGCAAAACGCCTCAATTACCTAAAGTGGAGGGATGCGCGGGGGTGGGATGGGTAGATTGCGGCAACGGGTGCATGCCGCCTGGAAGCACATGCTGTGGTGGTAAGTTCTGAGAACGACTCTGATTCTCGTTCGGTGGATCTGACCAACCTCTTTCGCATTCAGGCCGCTCATACTGTCCCAACAAAGGAACCTGTTCCGCGGACGGCAAAACCTGCAAAGCCGCGCCCAACCCAAACTCCTGCGGCGTTTCGCAACAGACTTGTGGGACTGCGTGCATGGACGCCGGTCGCGTGTGTTGCCGTACGTATCCAATCTCCTCCACCCTCCACCGTCATTTTCATCATTTCCTCACACTCCCTTTTTTCTGCGTGTAGCTGGCGGCTTATCCTCATGTCCAGCGGGTTCAACCTGCACACCCGACGGCACAGGATGCACGACGGGGTCCACCACCGTGGGACAGTTGAATCTCGTCTTGGGCAACGCGGCGGTGGATGGCGTCGCGTTTATTATGGCGGGTCTTCCGGCGAATCAGAGCATCATCAGCGGTGCGGCTCTCGGCAGCGCTGCGAGCGGCGTGTTTGTTTTGGCGAGTGCGGTGATGGGTCTTGTTTTGGGTGGACTGTTTCTGTGACGGACGCGAGAATCAAGGTAGAGTGGGGGTAGTGGGTGGAGGGGATCTGATTCCTGTACAGTATATTATTTTGGAACTATGTCGGGCAAGGTTGATAGAGAAAACATGATTTAAAGCTATGACTTTTGCGTCATTTGAACAACCGGTTTCAATTTTCTGTTTGGGACGCCAAGTTGAACGAGACAGTTTGGTTGGTGACCACAGCAAGGAGAAGACATAACACGTCGCTTCGGGGATAAGACTTCACAAAATAGCCGATGTTCCCGAACGTGCAAGCCGCATGGATGGTAAACCAACCAACTTCCTGTAAACCCGGTTTCCGCATGCTGCGGATGTTGCAACCAGCGTCGAAACACCCAGCAGCGCGAAACGCGCTCGGGACCACCGGTCCTTCTGCGCAGTCGGACAACACACGGAAAAGCGCGACGATAACCGACACCCAACAACGCCCCAATACATCCGCACCTTCTTCCAACCTTAGCGACACCGCCTTTTCGAACGGGATTTACCTCAAAACCGCTCGGTATCCGGAGAAAAATGCCTCACGATACATAAACAACCATCGGAGGAGCGGTTCCCATATACCAAAAAGGAAAGAGTTCGGGGGTCTAGCTCAAATGGTAGAGCGCTCGCTTAGCAGTCTCGTTGTCGTAACAGAGATTAATTTGCGAGAGGCACGGGGATCGATGCCCCGGACCTCCAATGGAGCTTTTTTTGTTCAGGTTTGCGGGGAGATATCATGTCGTTGGTGGTGAGGCAGTAATCGTTTTGGCGCGACAGTGAGGCAGGGTGTGTAATTTTGCCCAGATGCGACTACAGGCCATCTGGTTGGCCGTTTCGTGTTGACGACATGCACGCTTCAAACCAGCATAGAGTTTCTGTTTTGTGATTCGTATCGTCAGTTGCCCATTGTTCGAGTATACTTGCCTGAGGTTCCATGGCGTCGTTGATGTATCGGGTACCCTCCTCCACACTTCCGCATAACCGCGATATTCGTCGAGTTTCCTAGTTAGATGGAACAAACGAACATAACAGACTCTGCTTTGCGCGCGTCACTCTGTCTGGGTCCCATTATGCAGTATGATCCCCTTCTATGGATGAAGGTGACGATGCACATTCATCAAAATATTCCAACTGTCCGGGATTTGAACCGGACAGAAGGAAGGGAAAAAGAGTACACACTGCACAAAGTGCAGTACAGTTTGGAATCTGTATGTACTCAAAACCCAATTCACACGACGAAACCGAAAAGGTTCGAGGTGGTTGAGCACGCAAAAGATAGATAGAAGGGAAGAGGGAAGAGGGAAGAAAAGAAGGAAGTCATTAGTAACCATTCAAAGTAGAAAATGCCCCGGACACCGCACCCCCCCAC